CTGCCCTGGCAAGGGAGTCACCCTCACTTTGCCATTGGGAACCTGGCTGTCCCCTGGGACAATGAGGGCTCACAGGGCCTGTGAGAGCTGGCCTCAGGTTCCTCCAAGCCCCCTACGCCCCTGCCACCAGGCTTGCCCCCTCATCCCTGCTCAGCCCAGCTGTCCTACCCACCTCATAGAGGGACATGCCGCGGGCTGTGTCCAGGCTCTTGGGCCTCTTGGCCTGAAAGGGAAGAGAGCCCGGTCATCCTGGCCAGATGCTGCCCAGGTCCCCCTCCCTATTCCTCTCCTCTAGCTCCCATCACAAGATTCCTGGCCCCTGCAGCCCCACCCTGTGCTCCATCCCCACTTACCAGCCTCCGCTTCTCCAGATAGATGTCGAAGCTCCTGGCTCGGTTTGGCACCAGCTTCCTCAGGGGCACCTGCAGCTCCCCTAGGGGAGGCGCCCGCCGCTGTCGCCACAGCCATGGGTCCTCGCACACACACAGCCTGGTGGCCGCCCAGGTCAGACCTGGCCAGGCCAGCCCCATCCCCCTGCTCCACCCCCAGGTGGCCCAGGCCGGATCCTCACCTAAGGGTCTTGCACGCAGCATCCTGGCGGGTGAAGCCGTGATAGGTGAGTGTCTCCTCCCAGACAGGTACCCTCATACCCCGAATGGTGCGTGTCCGGAGCTGGCTGGCCTAGGGCCCAAGCAGGGTGGGTCAGGGCCTCCTAGGGTTAAGACCATCCTCCAACCACCTACCCTGCCTCCCTGGTAGGACCTCCCACTATTTGCACATCCCAGCAACTGGGACCCAGGCCTTGGGGGGTGGGGAGGAGCCAAGCAGAGCCAGGTGGGTGCTGCAGGCTAGATGTTCCACCAGAGGGCAGCAGTGGGGGCCTGGGGCTTGCCCTCACCTTGCTGTTCCCTGGCAGCAGATTGGCTTTGACATAGGTGTCCACGGAGCCTGAGGCCAACGGCTTGAGGCCCTGGGAACAGACAGTGGGTATGAGATAGGCCTGTGGCCCAGCCCTCTGTCCCAGGGACGCCCAGCCCCATCCTCACCTTGGCACGATGAGCCGTGCAGTGCAAGGCACTGTTGTCCGCATCAAAAAGAAGTGTGAACTCCAGGGTGCCCAGGACAGCTAAAGGCAGGTGGCAGGCAGGGTCACCTCCTACCTCAGCTCAATCTGCCCCCACCCATGGCACATACCTCCTGCCTTGCCCCTCCACGGCCAGATGGTAGAGACACCCCAATGCCCCTCCTGGCTGGACTGAGCTCAGGGTGTCCCCTCCTCCCGCCCCTACTCACTGCTGTCATCTGAGTCTCTCTCTGGCTCTGGGTCGGGCTGCGGCTGGGGTGCAGAGCGGATGGTGGACGCCGCCGCGGGGCGCAGGTCCGGAGGGTGCAGGGCAGGCTCCGTCAAAGGGTAAAAGTGCGGGAAGTAGTGGGAGATGAGGCGGATGGGCCGGAGGGGGCCCGGGCTCACATCGATGGCCATGTGCTCCTGCATGCTCACTCGGGGAGGCCGCCCACCTGCTGCCGCCGTGCCCGCCATGGGGACCCCGACGGGGGGCGGGGACTCAGAGAAATGCCTGAGGACTGGGGCTGCGGGGAACACACCCGGCCTCGGAGATGGAGTGAAGAAGCATCGCTGATACCATGCAGGGGACCTGAGGACAGAGCGCAGGGTTGGGGGAGGGGCCGGGGGAGTCCCCAGCCTGGAGGGTCGTGGCAGGCTTTGGAGGGGACTGGGAGTGTCGGGAGTCAGTCCAGCTCCCAGTCCTTACCGCTTTGGGAGCTACTTCACCCAGTGTGAGTCGCTGCTGCTGGCAATGGGTGTGCACTCTTGGGAGTAGAGCCCGTGACTGCTGTGTCCCCAGTGAGCGAGGGTGACCCAGAGCTCAGAACCCTCCCAGAGCTCCTTCCTAGCACTGGGGCTCAGCTTCCCTCCTTCCTCTGCCCCCTTCACACTTTGTCAAAGGGAGTTATTTTTACCACCATCATGTGGCTCTGCTCCCAGGTGAGAAGGCTGGAGGCCCAGAGATGACAGAGGGCTGTGGAGGTATTAAGTGGTTAGTGGGAAGGAGGGAGCACATAGGAGGAGGGGAGGGGGTGCATGGGAGAGTGGGAGGGGAGAGAGGTCTGGGGAGGAGAGGAGGGGAGCCACAGCAAGGGGCCCCTGTGATTGAGCCCTGCGGGGGTGGCCAGTTTACACTCGGAAACATGAACCAGATCATCCCACCTCCACCCCTGCTTGGAATAAAATCCGAACCCTTTGATGAGGCACGACCCCTTTTCACCTCACCAAGGAGTGTCCCCTTGGCATCTCACAGTGAGGGCCCACTCCCCTCCCAAACTGGGCCACTCCTACTCACCTTTGGTTTCTGGGTCACCCCCTGCAGGGGATCTTGGCTGGTTTTAACCATCCGGCATTCCCTCTCCTCTCTTCTCCCCAGTTATTCTTTTAATTTTTAATCAACATAACCGTAGATATTTATGGGGTACAATATGATGTTCTGATGTGATATGTGTAGAAATGTGATTTCTACAATATGCATTGTAGAAAGATTCAGTCAAGCTAATGAAAAAAGAACACTTAAAATGTACTCTTTAAACAATTGTGAAATACACAAGGTGCTATTGTTAGGGATGTTTGCCATGCTGTGCAATAGGGCCTTCAGCTTACTCTTCCTGACTGGAACTTTGTACCCTAAGAGCAATGGCTCCCCTCTCCCCATCCCTAGTCCCCCACTCTCCAGCTCCTGGTGACCACCATTCTCTCTGCTTCTAGGAGTTCAACTTTTTCAGATTCCACATAAAAATCAGACCATATAGTATTCGTCGTTCTGTGCCTAGCTTATTTCACTTAGCATATCGTCCTCTGGGTTCATCCATGTTGTCACAAATGATAGAATGTCCATCTTTGTTAAGGCTGAACAGTGTAGACACGCCATCCTATCCATCCGTCTGATGCTGGGCAGTCGGGTTGCTGCCGTGTCTTAGCTGTTGTGAATGGCACTGCACTGAACATGGAGGCAGACACCTCTTCAGCATGCTGACTTCAATTCCCGTGGATACCATCCACAAGTGGGGTTGCTGGATCACATGGTACCTCTATTTTTGGTGTTCTAAGGGACTGCTGTATGATTTTCCAAAATGGTTGCGCTCATTTCCCTTCCCACCGACAGCACGTAAGGCTTCCCTTATCCTCCACATCCTCACGAGCATCTGTTATCTCCTATGGTTTGGTCGTAGCCTTTCTAACAGGTGTGAGGTGGTATCTCATTGAGATTTTCACTTGTATTTCCTGCACGATTAGCGATGTTAAACATTTTTTCATGTGTCTGTTGAAAAATGTATGTTCAGGTGCTTTGCCCTTGTTTAAATTGGGATATTTGTTTCTTGTTATTGAGTTCCTTGTTTCTTTTGGATATTAGCCCCCTCATCAGGTGTATGGTTTACAAAGATTTTCTCCCATCCTGTAGCCTCTCTCCTCACTTTGTTGTTTCTTTTGCTGTGCAGAAGCTTTTTAGTTGGGTGCCATCCCATTTGTCTATTTTTGCTTTTGATGCCTTTGCTTTTGGGGTCCTATCCAAGAAATCATTGCCCAGACCAATGTCTAGAACTTTCCCCATATGTTTCCTTCAAGTAGTGTTACCATTGCAGGTTTTTGTTGGTTTTTTTTTCCCCCTTTAAGATAGGATCTCACTCTGTTGCCCAGGCTGGAGTGCAGTGGCACAATCTCAGTTCACTGCAGCCTCTGCCTCCTGGGCTCAAGCGATCCTCCCATCTCAGCTTCTTGAGTAGCTGGGACTACAAGCATGCACCACCATGCCTGGCTAATTTTTTTGTATTTCTGTACAGACAGGGTTTCACTACATATGACCAGGCCAGTCTTGAACTCCTGAAGTCACGGTGGCCCGCCTTGGCCAACCAAAGTGCTGGGATTACAGGCATGAGCCACAGAGTCCAGTTCGCTTCAGGTTTTATAGCCCATTTTGAGTTGATTTTTGTATAAGGTGTGAACCTCAGTTGTTCTTTGGGAACTACTGCTTCTCAGTCCAGGAAGTTCACCCTCCTACCCAGGCAAGCATTCCAGACTCTATCTATCAATGTATTGTAAATCCAACTGGCCATGTGACAGGCTCAGGGAAGGACATGTGACTCAAGACAGGCCAGTGAGGTGCACTTCTGAGTTAGACTGGCCGGGCGGAGTGGCCATGTTTTCTGTTGATGGATGCTGCTGCCCTCTCCTCAACCTCTCACACTCTGCACTAGAGACAACCTCCCCAGGGCTGAGGCCAGCACAGTGCAAAGCACAGCAAGAAGAGAGCCCCTGAGCCCCTGGATCCAGCCATACTGCCATGGCAAGTTCAGACCACCCACTCCCTCAACTCTTTCACAGAACCCTGGTCTACCTAGTTGACATCTTATTCCACTATTATCTGTGATTAATTAATGTGGAATCACATGATTATCTGTGTGACCTGGTCTGAGGTCTCCCTTAGAATGAGCACCCCCTCTGGAGGGCAGGTCAGCATCTGACTGGTCCACAGCTATGGCCCCACACAGCAGCTGGCACACACAGGGGCTCTGTATGTTAGACCCCTGCAGTAACACCCAGGGGCATGTGTGCACCTTACTGCTCTCTGGGATCCTGGAGCCCAGCACAGGGTCAGCCAGGCACAGCAGAGAGAAGAGGAGGTGCAGGCTGAGACACAGGCAGTGCATGCCTAAGAGTCTGGGCTGTGGAGTCTGACAGCCCTGGTTCCAATCCCAGCCTGGGGTCCTTAGGCAAGGTGTCTATCCCCCCTGAAAGCAGTCTCACCAGCCAGAGACAGTGCTGGCCCCGCCTTATGGGCTGTTGTGAGGGTGAGATGAATTGACTTTGAGTACTTGGCACCCAGGAAGTGTCCACTGCTGTGGGGAACGGCGTGACTGGAAAGAGGAGCCCCAACCAGCAGCCTGGAGTGGTCTGCCCAATGTCAAGGCCCCAGCACAGGACAAGCAGGAGCTCTAGAGCTGTCAAAGGCCTTTATTCAGTCCTGAAGTGGAGCTGGCCTGGCAGGGTGAAACCAGGGGCTGCTGAGGGTGGGCCAGGCCCTCAGCCCCTGGCCAGCTCAGGCCGGCCAGGCGGGGCTGGTAGGTACCAGGTGCCAGCAGCTGCAGGGCAAACTCGGTGATGACAGCTGTGAGGCCCCAGACCCGGTGTGGTCCATGCAGGAAGACAGGTAGTGTGTAGCGGAAGTGGCCACGCTGGCAGAAGTGGGTATAGCCCTGATTCTGCGTCTGCAGCAGGTGGGCTAGTGGGAGTGCAAACACCTCATCCACCTGCAGGCAGGAGGCAGAGAGGGTAGACAGAGAACTGGAACAGTCCACCCCCCTCACATCCCCCAGCTCACCTCCTCCGAGTTGGGCCTGAGGCTCTGGGGATCCAGTGGGCCCACACCAGCAAGCACTGGCACCACGGTGGCCTTTTGCTGGGGAAGAGGGCAGGCGGTCAGGGAAGCATGGCTTCAGTTGCGTTTGAAGGCTGGGGAGGGGAGTGTGAGGGGAAGACCCCCTTTGCCATGCACAGGCCTTAGGTAGTCATGTTCAGGTCCACCTGCCTGTGTCCTCCAGCCATGCCGACTGACTCAGGTCTCCTCAAATGCACTAGACCTGTTCCCTCTGCTTAGGACAATCTCCCACTTGGCATTCAAGCCCAGGTTCAATCCCTGCCTACCCCATGAAGCCTCCCTGACCCTAATCCACCAAGCTGAGCAGAGGTGGCCCACCCCATCGCCCTGGGCCACCTCTACTCAGGACACCAGAGCTTGCCCAATCTCTTCCCAAGGGGTTGTGTGGGGTGGCGCATGTGACCAGGCAGGTTAGGGGCACCCCTCCACACTTTGTGCCTGTGGGGGTCCATGACCACTCTCCTGGTCCGTGGGGGCCTAGCTCCAGGGCAGGCACAGAGTGAGTGAATGAGGGGGCGGTGGCCTCAGCCAGGTGGCTTACCGGATCATACACAGGCCGCAGCAGGCCCCACACGTGCTCCTCGGGCACTGCCAGGCCCAGTTCCTCCTGGGTTTCCCGCAGGGCCGTGTGCACCACGTCCTGGTCAGCCGGGTCGCACTTGCCGCCTGGGAAACTAAACAGACACAGGGAGTCGGGTCCTTGGACTCTTAGGGCCATGGAGAGGTCGGGGTGTCGGCAGTGCGGGGGGCCAGTGGCCCACCAAAGCATCGCCTGCCTCTGCTCCTAGTTTGCTGGGAAGCCCCAGGCAAGCCACACGACCTCTGGAGGCCAGTTTATCTCCCTGAGCAATGGGGCGATAAGGAAGAGAAGCCCGGGGCAGCGCAGGATAAGAGGGTCTGCAGCAGGAGCAAGAAGATCCTGGGGCTCAGATACCCAAATTCGGCCTATGGTGGCCCCAGTAGCACTGACATTGTCCTCGGGGACTATGTCCTCAAATCCCGCCAGGCGGGGCCCGAACCTCTCCGTAGTCGCCGGCAGGGGGCGGCGTCCGCCTTCTTAGCGGGAAACAGCTCAGAGGGGTGTCCCCGGCTGAGGCGTGCGCGCAGGGACTAGTACGAGGGGTCTACGCGGTGAGGGCGTGGCGCCCGGGCAGGTGCACTGGAGCCGAGGCACACGGATCGTTGATCCCTCGCCGCAGCCCGTGGGCGTAGGGGCTCTCCCCAGACCCATTTTACGGAGGCGGAAACCGAGGCTCGAAGGGGCTAAGTGCCCTGCCCGAGGTCCCTGCCAGCCGCGGCCTCCGGCAAAGGGCAAGGAATTCCTGGCCGCTGTACCTAACGTCGCCCTTGTGCCTCCCGGTCAGGCGGCTGGACCGCAGCGTATACAGCAGAGCCGGGACCCCGCGCACTGAGCAGAGAGGCACGAGCACCGCGGCCGACGCGGGCCGTGCGCGGAGTCGGGCCGTGGCCCCCGCCAGCAGCCGGCGGCAGCGCAGCTCGCCCTCGGCCGACAGGCAGTCGGGCAGCATGCCGAGTCCTGCGCGGCCGTGACGCGGAGGACGCGAGGTCGAGCGAGGGAAGAGGCGGGGCGAGGCGGGGCGAGGCGGGGCGAGGCGGGGCGGGGCGGGGCGGGGCAGAGCAGGGCAGGATGGGGCGGGGCGATCAGCCCGGGTCCCTCCGGAAGCTGAGAGGGAGAAGGGGCCACCCGCCCGACGCGTCCAGCCCGGGGGGCTGCGGAGCGGCGGCAGTGTTGGGGGGCCTCGGTGGGACTGGGTCTGTTCGGGGGCGGGGCCTATCCGGAGACAGGGTCTCGGTGGGACTGGGTCTGTTCGAGGGCGGGGCCTGTTTGAAGGCGGGGCCTCCGTGGGACGGGGTCTGTTAGGGGGCGGGGCCTTGTAGGCAATCGACGCTGGGGCGGCCTGGGGGCGGGGCCTGGACTGGAGCTTTTGCTAAGAAGGACTAGGGGGAGCGAGGGGGCGGCTCGAGGTGGGGGGCGTGGCCGGAAAGGCGTGTCCAGGCGGACTGTGCTTCCGGCAGGGCCGGGCCGGGGGCGGGGCCGGGGGCGTGGCCGAGGGGAGGGAGGAGGGCGCGGAGCTGGAGGACCTGCCGGGTGTGTCCTTCGAGATCCTGGAACCGCGCGAACCGTGAAGCGCCCGGCGACCGTCCTCGGTCCCGTTGGGTCCTGGCGTTGGGGTGTCTGATGAGGCCTCGCCGGCCCCCGCTGGTCCGTCCCTCCCCTAGGGGCTCCAGGATGTGCGGAGCTGGGATTCCACGGGGACGCCCCTCTAGGACCCCGAGGTCGATCGGTGCACGAGAGGGGCGTCCGGCCTAGCCCTCCCTCTGGTGCTCCCTCCCGGTGCCGCTGAGTGGCATGCACCGCTCCCAGTCTTGTCTTCCCCTCAGGCTCCTTCGGACTCCAGCCCCAGGCCTTTGACCTCCTTGTCCCAGCGTCCAGAGCTCTTCTCCCTGCCTTGAGTATTGACCGGATTCCCAAATCCCTCCCCCGTCCCTTCCTCGGCTCCTGTGACCACTGACTACCGTGGTTCCGCACCCTTCCACCAAACCCTGGGCTTGGGGACCAGATGACCCCAGCCTTGCACACAGTATTTAAACGTGGGGTGGTGGGTGTCCGCCATGCCCTGCTGTGTGACTTTCAGCAGATCCCGTGCCTCTCTGAGCGCCAGTTTCGATCCTCATCTGGGCAATGCAGCCCTGCCACTGGGCTGGAGTCACCACTTTTAATATCACTGTGTGCTCCCAGGGATGCGGACGGCACTGAACAGAGCTTCGGGATGCCTACACAGGGCTGATGTGCGGACTGTGATGGGTCTGGGAGTTCCTGAGGGCCCCGCCCTGACCACGAGGACGGAAGTGCTCTGACCACTCATGCCAAATAGTTTAATGTTAGGGGGAAGAGAGAGGTAAGGCAGGGTTTTTGGGAGTTACCCCCAAAGCAAGAGGGCACAGTATTCAGGCTGCTGGGGTTGGGAGGTAGAAGGCCTGGTTCCAAGCTTGCCATGGTCTCAGCCTTGCTGTGACCCTGGGCAGGTAGTCTCTTTCTCTAGACTTTCACCTACTCTGCTGTCCTTGAGACAGAGGTGGGGCTGGACGGGGTGGGGCAGGGGCTGATTCCCACGCCGGGTGTAAGGTCCAGGGTAGCAGGGCTTCCCCACAGGGCTTCTGCCATCACTGGGAGTCCTGGCCAGGCCCCAGGCACACCACAGTGGGGGACAGGAGCCCCAGACCAGCTGGGAGAGGCAGGCCTCCTTGATCACTATCAGCCCGGATGTTGGGGAGGGGGTATGGTGCCGGTCGGGTCCTTGGGATCCCTAGGTGACTTGAGGCTCCAGAGTACAGGCTCTGATAGGTGACAGGCCTGTAGGTGGCTGGGGCCAGCAGGGCCTCAGGTGGGGGCAGCAGCTGATGATGGAGCCGAGCAGGGGTCCTGGAGGTGGAAGCTGAAGCTTTGTTGGGGTCTGAGGGAGGAAATGGTCTGAGTGGACTCTGGGCCTCCCATCGTATCCTCAGCCCTCATCCCAGGCCTGCCCTGGTCCCTTCCTGCTCCTCCTTCCCAAGTTACCTACCTTTCAGCCTTTGCCCTTGCTTTTCCCTCTATCTGGAATTTCTTCTTCACCTTCTCCCTCTGTCCAAACGCTTCCCAGTCCTCCAAAGCCCAGTTTGGGAGCCACCTCCTGCAGGAAGCCTGCCTGGCACCCCCTGCCTGTGCTCTCTGTTCTGAGCCCCATATTGTCTTAGGCATGTTTGCTTCCCCCTCTGTGTCCACACAGGGGCCCTGTGGGTTTGCTGAGCTGCTGAAGCCCCTTCCTGGAAGTCCTGTCCCTTTGCTTCCCGCCCACCATGTACGCCTTAGTCCCACTGTCTGCAGGCCTGGAGCCTTACCTTTCTTCCTCTCTGTGGCGCCCTTCAGCAAACAGGGACTGAGGCTGCTGTGACTCCGGGCTGGGACACTGAGCAGGGGCTGTGGGGCTACAGGCCTGAAGATGGAGCAAGCAGGAATTGGGGGAGGGGATCAAGGGGAAGAACCCAGGCCAGGGATCATGGCCAGATTCAGATGGTGGGGCCCCAGGATGGGTCAGAGAGTGTGACCCTGAAACAAGGGTCAGGAACTGAGGCCTTAGGATATGCCTGGGGTTGGGAGTGAGGGGCTAGGGTCGGGGTCAGACAGTACCAGGAATCCAGGTCACTCTCTCTAAAGCCCTTGGCAAAAGGGTTGCTGGCGATTTTCAGCTGGGTGATCTGCAGGGGACAAAGTGCAGTTGTGGGGCTGGCCCTGAGCCAGGCTCAGCCACCTTGTCTTCCCTGGCACCCGGTCCCCTTGGCCCAGGAACTCTGAGCTGATAGGAGTGCGGGCAGGGCCTTGACTGGCAGCAGATGCTCAGGATAAGTGGGGAGGGCAGTAGTCTGTGCCAGTGAGGGCTACAAGCCTCCGGGCTCAGTCTCCACCCCTGTGAAATGGGCCTGCAGCGGGTGCTCCCGAGCTGGTTCACCCACCCTGTGGTTCTGATAGGCCGTCACGGCTGTGAACTGGGTCTCCGTGAAGATGAAGGATTTGAAGTTCTCCTGGGCGTAGCGCTCACTGTCCTTGCGTGGGTCCACGAAGACCACGTGGAAACGGGGCTGGTAGCGGTGCATGGAGTTGAGAATGATCTGTGGAAGGGACAGAGCAGGGGTACAGGGGTGAGGCAGGCTGCAGCAGACTCCCTGAGGCTGGAGTCCTTCCCTCCAAGCTGGAGGCCTGCCCCGGGCCTACTGCCCTGTTCCTTTCATGGTGGTGCAGGGTCTGAGCTGGAAAGGCTGTGGTTCTGTGTTAAAGGCCCCTTGTGTTTGAGGATCCTTGCCTCCGTGTCCTCTCATACCCCACATCGAAGCTGCCACCCGCTGCCTGCGTGCTGGCCCGCCACTGTCACGTTCACTGGTTTCCTCGGTTGCCTCCTGGCCTGTCCTCTGTCCCCGCCTTACCCCTCTGTTTCTTCTCCACACAGCTGCCTAGGAAGCCACATCACATAGCCCCCTGCTCCTAACCTTCCAGCGACTTCCACCCCACACGGTAAAAGCCAGAGCCCCCAGCAGTCAGCCCCGGCCCCTCAGGCACTCGCCTCTTTGGCTTCCCCTCCTGGCTCCACTCCGGCCCCATGGGTGCCTCTTGCAGTTCTGCGGGCCCAGGATTTTCCGGCCTCAGGGCCTTTGCACCTGCTGTCCCCTCTGACAGGCATGGGCCCCTCCGTCCCCACCTCCTTCAGGTCTTCAGCTCGCTGCACCCCTTGAGAGCAGCAGCACCCTTTCTCCGCCCCCTTCCATAGCTCCGCTTTCTCTTTGGCATTTGTCCCTATCTGAGATGCTGGACACAGTGTCTTCTGGACCCTGCCCCTGCCCCAGGAAGTGACCTCTGTGGGGGCAGGGATTGTTGGCTGTTTGACCAAGTGTCAATGATGCTGTGTCCACACATACAGTGGCCCGGCCTAGGCTGGGCGTTCCATACATTGTCCTCCCTCTCCTTGTGGGGGACAACGTATGCTGGAACATTCCCCCGCCCCCACCCCCTTTTCCACCTGCCTGGACAGCCCTCCCTGCTGTGCCACCCCCAGCCAGGTGAGCTCACCACCCCCACTCCCCGCCCAGCCTTGGCCAGCAGCAGGCCTAGGTGATGGTCACCAAAGCCATTGGGCACCAAGGGCCCCACCAGCCCTGACCCCAGGCCCTTCCGTCCCCGCCGTGGCCTGGGCCTCACGTGGCCATTGTCATCCAGCAGGTTGTTGGTCAGCTTGAGCTTGTCGAAGGACACGATCTGGCGCATCCACTGGGCACCCTTGGCCGGCGAGTCAGGGTGGAAGTGCACGCGGCCGGGCGTGGCTGGGTCTGCCTTGCCCGCCACCAGCCAGGCCGAGCTGTGGAAGGCATACCTGGGGAGCACAGCGAGGTGGTGAGGGCTGCCCTAACCAGAGTCATACCTGAACAATACGGGCGGGGTGAAGAGGCTGCTGCTGACTCCGACACTGCCCAGCCCACCTTGTGGACACCTGGCTAAGGAACCCAAGGCTCAGAGAAGCCTGCTGAGACCTGAGCTCCCTGTGGCTGCACCCGGCTGGTGGATGACAGGATAACCCCTGCTGCCCTGGGCTAGACCTCTCTGCCTGCCCAAGGCTAGCCCACTGCCCAAGGAATGCTGCCTGCCCGAGGCTAGCCTACTGCCCATGGAAGTCTGCGGGCACCCTGAGCTGGGCTCCCTCATGCTCTCAGGCTGTTGTTGCCTGTCTGTCGTCCTGCCCTTATGCTGGGCCTTCCTGACATTGCTTGGACAGGCCCCTGCCTCACCTGGGAGTGCAGGAAGGGTCTAATTCCTGGTCTCAGCACCTGAGACCGGAGCCTGCGCCCCAGGCCATTCCCCGCACCTGTATCTCTTGTCGTCCAGGGGGATGAAGTCCATGAGCAGGGCGTAGTCAGCCAGGGAGTCCATGCCCAGGATCTTCACCTGGAAGGGGGGGAACATCCTTCTGCAGGAGGGAGGTGCTCAGCAGCCAGATACGGCTCCAGCCCTGGCCCCTGCCCCGCCCCGCCCCCGCTGC